CTCTCCTGCTTCCTTGCTCCCTTGCTCCCTTGCTCCCTTGCTCCCTTGCTCCCTTACTCCCTTGCTCCCTTTCTTTGCTAATTTAGTCGAGAGGTCAAATGGATAACACAAGTATAAGAAAAGCAAGTAACCATGTTCCCAAGATACTTGAAAAGGAAGCCTTACTTTAAGCCATGTATATCAAAATGATTTTTATATAGGGGATTTAGCCCAAAAGAGTTATATGAGATTTGGATTTAACATATATCAAGTACACCATTCCACCATTGCTATGATAACGTTTTTTATTTCAAAAAGGTTTTGTAATTTATACACACTAGATGAGATATTTTTTATAATTTCGAAAAGCCACAATAAATTATGTTCAGTACATCGTTTGCTAATATTCTATTATATACATCTATACCTCGTATTAATATATGATTATCACAATCCATCCCTCTTTGTGATTGGTCTATCCCCAAGTTAAAATGTTGCACCCAGTTCACTAGTATGATGTCCATGGTAGCCGCGCTAACTCAGTATTAACCCATTACTAATTCTCTCTACTTCATTATATATACACCGAACGCATAATTTATTACTACTATTACATGGGGAAGGAAGCCATCCCTCCCTCACTACACCCCACAATCCTATCCTTGAATCCACGCCCTGAATCTTTATTGCTATTTATCTTTTGTTTTTTTATTTGCCAACTAATTGACAGTCCTCTAGAACTATCCCTTAATTTTGACTACTATTTTAACATCAGTGACGTTTCTTAACAGCGCCTTTTTTTGTTTTGACACGATGGCTCTTCTTATTGGTTACTTTTTGATGGTGTTTTTCTTTGTGATGGTGACGTGAATGTTTGGTGGTTTTTGGTTTGGAGATCTTCAATTTTTTATCCTTCGACTTGCTTAACATTTTACGGGCCAGCTTGTGAGTTAACAGTCCGTGGCCGGAAGGAATGCTGTGGAAATGATTAATTAAAAAGAATAGGACTTTTACTTTATTTGCATAGTAATTTATTATTAAGCCTGGTTCGCACTAGCGTCGAATCGGTAGCAACATACCGCGCGCGCATTTATCACCTGTAAAATGACTAATTACTGTTAATGAGCAAATGAGAAGGTGAGAGGTAGAGAAGGCTGGTGGGAGAAAGGCATGGGACGGAGCTCAAAGGAGGCGAGAGAGGAGAAGGGGAAAGAGAAAGGAGTGAGAGATATCTTACTTGTGTTTCTTTATTAAATTCCATCCCTGTGAATAGAAGTTTTCCTTGTCTGTTCTGCTTATTGGTGTTCGACGGTACAACGCCGGCTAGAAGTAGAAATATGTCATGACTACTTTTAGTATTGACGTGGACCATGCAGGAAGGATTTTAAAACATGATGCACAAACGTACTGCAAATCAGCTCATATATGATGGAATTGCTAGTGAAAACCACTCGTCATAAGTGTTAGCTCAAGCAATAAAAATAGATTCGTTCCGATCCTTTGCATTATACGAAACCAGCCTTAACACATTGAATTGCAATATTTAGTTTTATATTCTAAAGCCCACCTTCAAGTCTATGGGTCCAATACCAGACGTAACCCAGTTGGCAGGGATTGCGGTGTACTGATTCAGCGGTCCTCCAACGACTGTCTCTTGCCGAGGCAAGGCAGCTACAGGCGGTAAAGAAAAATCGTAGGATGTCGCCCCCTGCAAGGTTACGAAGGGTTGGGCTGTCGGAGGGGCCGGACGTTTGGCTGTGGGGGTTCCGACGACAGATGGTGCGGTTGGACATGGAGATTGTACTTTTGAACCGGGGGCACACGAGGCACCAGGAGCACTCCCGGCACCCGAAGGAGAAGATGTCAGGGCTAGATTCATAGTACTGCTGCCTGGCTTACCCTGACCTTGACCTGGACCTTTGGGACCACCTTGAGTTGGTTTGAACTGTGCTGGACCCCCTAGGCCGGCTTGACCTTTAGGACCACCTTGAGGTGGTTTGAACTGTACTGGACCCCCTACGCCGGCTTGATTCGGTCCCTTGCCTTGACCTTGACCTTTACCCTGTTGGCCTCCTTGATTAGGCTTGCCTTGTGGCGATGAAGTGAGAGGCACGATGGTAATTACAGAAGCAGCTAGAATGCATGCAGGAGAGTTTGGTTTACCTGTTGTAGAGTTCTTACAGGCTGGAGGACGTTTTCCATTCTTGATCTTACTGTTCACGTATTTTTCGAGGGCCAGTATGCGTTGTATCAAGAGTTTGAGCTGTTCATTCTCACACTAAAAAAGATCAAGTGAAATGTGTACATACATAATATGTGCATATATATATGCATAGCCCACATACATATTTGCACAATGCAGCGACGAAGGTCTTAACCATTTTCGCTTACTTTTAAGGCAAAGGCAGCATCTTCTTCTCAAATATTTTTTTAAAACCTTGAGTATTGGTCAGGCCATGGAACTTATGCCCTCGCCCTCCCGCAAAACAGGCCGGTGCTCAACCTAGCCAAGCGGGAGGTAGTTAAGTATTAATTTTTACTTCATAAGTAATTTTTTTGGTATTGCGCAATAATGTAGGATGATTTGCTGTTTAAATACCTGTGTTCTGCGGCAGAATCCTTTTAAACCTTGGTCGCCCTGTCAGTAACAGGATGAAATGGATAAGAAAATGATATTTGAAATTTTAAGTATAAGGTGTCAGGATGGCCGAGCGGTCTAAGGCGCTGCGTTCAGGTCGCAGTCTACTTCTGTAGGCGTGGGTTCGAATCCCACTCCTGACAATAAATAACTTCTTTTCGAATATTATGGTTTCTATTTTATTTATGTTTTACTATTTACTCAAAACCCAATATTTATTTGGTTTGTTTTTCCACTGCGTGAAATCGATTTCATTTGACTTAAGTACACTTAAGTATTTATTTTCCTATAAAATATAACCCAATAACTACTTAATTTAAGCTTATTTTTATTTTACTTTTTTATCTTACCGGAGGTCCTTGCGGTCCGGGTGGACCTGGTTTCCCAGGATCGCCCTAGAAAGAATAAAAAAAAAACAACCTTTTTTATAAGTGCATCAGTGTAAAGATTAGTAATGTTATGTGGGATACCTGTGGTGAAGTGCTCCACAGGTATCCCACAGATTCCGAGAAGTATAAAGTAAGAAACTTATAAGGGGTTACCTGTGGTCCTTGTTTTCCAGGAGCTCCGTCTAAACCTTTCATAACCACAGTCATAGTATCCTGTTACAAATACAAACACTCATAAATTTGTGTCATTCACGTGATCTGGAATCTAGACCTAGGCGCGCAATGCATTGTTCGCCCAATTTGCCGCCAATACCTGGATCCGGTAGCAAAATTTGAGCTTTATAAAATAGCCGTTAAAAATCTCGCGTTCTGATTGTTTGGGAGCGCGTGCTTTATGAGAGCACACAGCACATGTGCGCACTTTCAGTTGCGTCGTTCATATCCATGAATAAAGGTTATTGTAATTTGTATTTTATGAAAGAAATAAAATGCTTGCTGTGCTGTGTGGAGATATAAAGCACTTGGGGATTGACAGAACATTCGAGAACTGTCGAAAAGCACTCCGCTGCGTGTCGTGCACTAATTCTCCTAACACGTCGCTTCTGTTCTGCCAACCCCTGAGTACTTTATAACTGCACACATCTCTTTGCAGCTTAGTCTCGCAACAGAGTTGTGACAAGTTTCAAGAGTGTCTACACAGTGCAACGGAGACTCAATCGTATTGCCAATTGTAGAAACGAATTCTAATTTCGCAACGATTGATGCAACTTGTCTCGCAACATTTTTAAAATTGCGCTGTAGGTTACACGCTGCAATGTTCTATGCAACTTGTGTCGCAACGCCTTTGCGAGACAATTTACAAAGAAAATTGATACGTTGAATTTCGCCTTTAGGGCTGAGAGGCAAATTAAAACTGCACTTTTCTTGTCGGCAGTGTTTCACCACAAAGTTCGTAGTTATAGCAAGTCGACAGAGAAGCACGATCTTATTTTTCATAATTTTCGGCCACTGCTGCACGCAAATAAGTAGAAACTACTTACAGGTGATGACTGTGGTCGGGCCATAATATTAAATTTCTTCTTGGGATGCTGGGTATGCACAATGACACTTTTCTTGTAGTGATGGTGACTGGCTTCTGCGATGTCTATCGTCACGCATGCGCACAGCACTAATGCTGTCAGCCAACTTAATTTCATTATTCTCAAATAATCTGAAAGACAAAAAAATTAAGAATCAAGAGATAAACATCTTAGCAGTAAGTACAAAGATTTTATAAACAATATATTGCTGCTATGACAACAGAAAATACCTGTTCTGTACCTGTCGATGGGTCAGGTGGGCCACCAGAAGTTCAATACACACTAACACCTTCGAACTCATCGATATTTACGCCTCTAATTTTTAACACTTGTTGATAAGAAAAATATCCAAATTGCTCCTTATTTATATTTGTCACTCTTCGCAATCGAGTGCTATCTTCTCCGTTTGACGAAAAAAAAAACACCATATAATTTCCATATTTGAATTTTGGTCTTTCTTCACCGTTTTGTCAGAAGGTTATATATTTTTATTGCATTCTTATTAGCGAATTTTGAAATATTTTTTGCTATCTTTCTGTAATAAAATTTCTCAAATGTCAAAATTGGATTTTTCGGAACATTTAAGGCAAAGTTTTCGATCGATCAGCAAGCATTCTTAATCATTTATGAACAAGATATAATCTTTAATCATTTTTTTCTTTGTTTTTCTTTGTGATAGATAATTAAAAAGGTCTTTAAACTGCTAGACCATTGATATAAACGCTACAGCGGTTTTATTACTTGACTATTTTTTTAAACTGTAGACTTATAAAAATAAGTTTTTCGGGTCATTAAAAGTCATGTTGTCCTGCGCTCGACAAAATCGATATCTTTAACCATTATAATGAGTTCCGTAATTTAGCTTAGATATTGTATAATTAGATAAAAAAGAAATTTATTAAAATGGCCAAAAAAAACGTGAATAATGATAATCCTGTAGAATAAAATCGATCTGTTTTCACCAACAAATTTCAAGGTAGAATTTAACCTCCCAAATCAATGCCATTCTAAAATTACAATTACCTGATTCAATGGTGACAGCTACTGCATTTTCCAAACGCCTAGTAATGCTCTAAACCGCCAGATATTTTTCAGTAACTAGAACTACAAGACTTACCATATATTTTCTGTAAATGCCTCGGATATTCAGGGCTGTTTGTCGATTAATTAAGGATTATATATATACTAAGTTTATATGATCACCATGTCTTGATTTTCATAATTGTTTACATCCAGATTTAGGACGTTACGAACGGTTGTCACGTGACCTGTTGAAAATTTTTTTCCAAGATTATTTTCAAAACAAAGTGGCAAACAAATATGAAATATAAGGTTCAGAGCATTATACAGAGGTTAACAAGAAAGAAAGCCAGACAAAGAAAGAAAGAATGGCCTGCGGATTGAATGAAAGGAGATAGAAAGGAATGAATGAATGTATAGTAATATATATGGATGGAACAAGTGAGGGAAAAAGATATTAAACCACCATGACGTTTCGGACGTTATTCTGTAAAAATATGGATGAATGAATGAACGGGAAGAATGGATGGATGTAACTTAGTAAATTTGAAAGAAAATCCAGAAACTTAAGAAATAAAGAATCATATAAACAAATGAAAAGAAAAATCAAAAGTAATTCGAATAATCAACTTTATAATCAAACAAACAAACAAACAAAMAAATACTAAAAACATATAACATGGGCTCCCTGTATCCTTTCTTACGGATGAGGAACTGGATCGATATCCCATGATGCAGCTCGCTCCATGTTCTTCGCATCCGCCATCTTGGATTCAAAGTGGCAAGGACTTTAGAATAGTGTGGGAAAATGACTTCATTATTGCTTCGTTCCATCCGCTCTAGTACTATAAGACCATGCATGAGACTTATGAACTCTCGATTAACTCCTGCTATTATTTCCAGAGGTCTGGCGACAGAAAAAGGTAAAGAAAATTGGACTTTTATTTTCTAAATGAAAATCTAGTGTAGCCGGTTGCGTGGTGGGACCTTCAGTACGATTGACTTCGGAATTCTCCTCTCTTTTTTTAATAACGATAGGTAGAATTAAATTTTTTTAGAGGCCAACGGATTAGGTACCTTAGACTTAATGATTTAGTTTTGTAAAATATTTTTTTTAATATAGTAAAGAATTTGAATATATTGAATTATATTTACAGTAACGCTAAGCACAATCGTGTTTTACAGCACGTTTCTCATCATAGAGTGACAATAAGAGCTCCACCTCCTTTATATTCGCCTAAATCTGCGATGATTTAATGATAAATCAAGAGAAATTATTCTTAAAGGAAGTTGGAGAAGTTAGCTAAAATGTCTTTCATTTCAACTATTTGGCAAGATGTTTCTTGGTTATATTTTTGATCTCGCATAAAATGTTTATTGCCATCTTGATAAAAACTTTGAATTCTTATGACTAAGGACAGAATAAAGACACTGGTCTTTGCCAGTAAGACATATTTTGTACTAAAGTTCTAGATAAATCAGTCACATGAAATACCACAAGATTTTTATTCTAGTGTCAAATTTTGACTTTTGATTTGCTGAATGCCAATATTGCCATAGCTCATATTGAGCTCATAGCTAGCAGTTATTTAATGATTATTTGCAAAAGATGAAGTGATTATCGGTGAATATTTACCAAGCTGTGAGTCTTAGAGCGACGAGGTAAATATTCACCGTAACCACTGAGTCTGAGGGGAATATTTTTTAGTATAATTTTAGACTTGAGTATCAGAGAAAAGACGAAATTGGAAAACCTCATAATCATCGATCGAGCAGTGAATATCACCCCATAATCACTGCTCGCTTGACCAATCACATAGCGTGAAACTCTATTTTAAGTCTAAAATAATATGCTAATATTCAAATAATCCAATCACAAATTGAGATTCAATTTCAGTTCTGATATAAAATTTACAAGTTCTGTTTTATTTCTGTAAGTTTTAAAACGTGAAATCAAATTTCAATGAATAAATTGAATCTTCCAACCTAGCTGGTTTGACTTTAAAGTGTTTTTCTGTTTGTGGAAACTGTTGCATGATAGCAATGTAGTAGTATTATCTGTGTTTCAGATTCTAAACCAAGTATTGCAACTCCTGAGGAGATGGCGACTGGCTTAGAGAAGCTTGAGTATGACGCCGTCATATCTGGAATTGAGGTTAGTACTTTTGAATTCATCTACACTACCATTTGCCTGCAAAGAAATATGATATTCATTGTTCCAGCTTGCCTTAATAAGGGTATTATACTTTATATTTTACACTCTGTTGGATCTATATATATACGGTAGTATGTTAATAGAAGATTTTGTTGTGTATCAGGATCCCTTCAGGCTTAAGATGGCAACAGGACCTCCAGGAACGCTAGAAAAACCAACAGAAGTGCCCACAGCATTTGGTGAACGTATCGTTGGATGCGTTTGTAAGTATTGCATAAAAGTGTAAGGTACAAAAGTTAGTACATTGCAGGATCTGATAGAGTGATTTGGATAGAATGTCTTCCCATTTCATGCCTTGTAACCCCCTCCCCTGAGAATAAGACTACTAAGACAATCATAATGTGGACATGATACAAACATACCAAAACAAAACAAACAATGCACAATCAACCAACAAATATCAACACAGAAAATACCTAAAACATACATGCATCAGCATAATGTGCACAACACTAATACAAATACACAGCACTCAAAAATACCAACCCAACACAACACTCCAAAAACTGTACCAACATACTACACCATAACAATGTTACAACACACAAATGCACAGCACACCAGAATACTAATACACAATAATGCACCAGCACACACAAATGCATAGCACACCAGAATACTAACACACTACACAACCATACACCAACACACACAAATGCACAGCACACCTAAATACCAACACACTACACAACAATGTACCAACACACACAAATGCATAGCACACCTAAATACCAACACACTAAACAACAATGTACCAACACACACAAATGCAAAGCACACCTAAATACCAACACACCAACAATGTACCAACACACACAAATGCACAGCACACCAAAATACCAATACACTACACATTAATATACCAACACACACAAAATTTCACTGCCAGATTTATTTGGAATTTAGGAGTCAATTTGTGTATAGGAAGAAATACCAAAGAAAAACCCAGAAAGCGAGCAGTTCTACTCACACAGGACACTGATCCTGGGAATCAATCCTGGGTTACATTGGTTATAGCTGGCACATAAACAACACACACCAACTATGCTTACTGAACAGAGCCAAAAATGCACAACCTATGCACATCTAATGCGTTTACCACTCCTGGATGGACGGCTTAATGCCTAACTGGTTTTGGAACCTAATTGATAAGGCAGCCAACAGATTGAATTAGAATTTAGAAGTTGATTTTTGTGTAGGGTAGGAAAAACTGGGGAAACCCTCAAAGCACAGGAGAGTACCAACAAATGACTCTACTCACATACCACAGGGCAGGACTCAAACCCGACTCACATTGGTGAGAGGCGGAGCATCAGCAGCGCAAGCCACCCATGCTTCCCACATACAGACACAGTATTTTTTAAAGGATTTAGCCATAATAACTAACTGGTATTTTATCCACAGGTGAAGAAGATGCAACAATGATCAAATGGATGTTAGTGAAGAAAGGAGAGCCACAAAGATGTGACTGTGGCCACTATTTTGTGATTAAGGATGCAAATCCAATTGATATTGCATTATAAATCCAAACTAAAATCCCTGTCTTGTTTATTTTGATTCCTTATTGGATTTTAATTAGTTTTGTTAAATACTGTAAGGATTGCATGGTGTAAGTGTGGCATATCTGTGTACAAATTGTTGTACTTCAGTCTTGATATTGAAGCATTAAATTTAAATTAAACAGATTTTTTTTAAATCTTAAAGTCCAGCTACAATGTTGGAACGAAAAAGTGATGCCTTAGAGTATTATTTCTTCGTTTAATGATTGCACATGAGAAGACACATGAATATGGATGCAACTCAAACAAAGAATCTTATTCTTAAGGGAATGACACATGGTCTGAAATGGGAAAACATGGCCAAGCTAAATGGTCTATCGAAGGGTCTCCAGGCAGAAGTCTGTCAGCAGATTTCTAAACAACTTAAGTTTATTACTACGCATGCGTGGACGAGAAAAAATGAGTACCCAACATCCGGCATACTTGTTTAATATTGAGCACGCGCACAAAGAGAAAATCGCAAAACGTCAATACCAAAGGAAGCCCATTCGCCTGACTTGTGTTATTTCGTGAAAAGATAATCATTGTATTCGATGTCGGTCCGGTCCTCGCTGACACTGTTGTCTGAATTTTGCTTCTTTAACAAAAATCGAACTTCAAGCAACAAACAAACAGATTTGCATCAATTAGGGAAAAAGTCATTGGGTTTAATGTCTTCTGGAAATTTGAGAAAATTCGGTTTAAAGCGTTTAGAGAAGTATGTTTTTCCAATCGCTGGCATCGTTGCTATCCTCGCTGACAACGTTAACATTATGCTGTTTTTTGAAAAATTCGACCTCCAGTAATTAACCAAACTGCATAAATCGACCGACAAGGTTGTGAACAATGAGTGTCATCGTGCGACGTCGCTTGCACTGGAGCGTTTTCCAGCCAGTGATTTTTCCCTGTGAAAAGCCCAACACGAGTAGTGATTTTTTCCTCTCTCTTCCTAGCGGGGTAGGAAAGAACCTTTGCTCGCATAGTAAACCGCACGATCTGACTTGGATCAGCTGTTGTTTCAGAGTTCGATGAAATTAAGTGTTTCAGTGGCAGATCCAGAAAGATTTCTAGGGGGTGACTGTAACCTAAAAAGGCATTACATAGCATCCTCTTTAGATCGTACCAAGAGAAAATGAACTGAGAAGGAATCTTTGGTGTTCATGCTTGTAACCATCATTTGCATCGTTTGATGCTATTTTTAGAATCACCTTTACCATTGCGCGTGCAGAAAAACAAACGCTCAAATAAATGATTCTAAAAATAGCATGAAATATTCTAAAAATAGCATCCAAGAGTGCTCATGATTCCACGTAAAGAGTACTAGTTGAGAGTCGTATGCATAGAATATTTAGTTAGTGCTAGTGTGTGTGAGTGACAGTAGGGCCAAATTATAAACCAGTTTACTGAATTGTGATTTATATGATTTTTATATAGCGCTCTTTTAATTATTTTCATATGCATATGATCAAAGGCGCTTTGCAATGAATTTTGATGGATAGGTGGTTAGTATGAGGAGTGTTCACCGAGAATGGTCACTGCCAGGGTTTCTTTACGTCCTCAGTGGTTCTTCTGACGGTTCTTCTTACGTCCTCAGTGAGTTCTGGTTCTTCTATTTAAAAAGTGATTTATCCTAGTTTATTTGATTATTTTAACAACATGTCCTGGTAAAATCCAACCTCCACCTCCTCGTGGTACCAGGAAGGACAACGTCCTAAAGAAGTAGGGGACAGCCAGGCCAGTCTGGGCGAGGTACATTATAGGGACTTAGATACCCTGTGGCCGCTACAGTAACCGTCAAGGCCTGTCTGGAACTCCGAACAGGACGGCGAACGGAGGCTCTGGTGAAGCTAAGATAGGATTGGCTAATTCATTATGACGTCACATAAAAACAAGGGAAGACAAAACAGCAAAGCAACTAAAACTAGAAAAAAAAGTATTCTTTAGGACTAAGAAAAAAGCAAAATTTGCATTAAATACCGTATATCGTAGGATAATTAAACATTGGTTTTTAAAATATTTAAAATCCAGACATTGATCAAAGCTATCACTGCAGAGCCAGTATTAGTCCAAATTCTTATTGTTCTTCAACATTCTGTTGCCCTTATAAACAAGCTGTGACGTCATATTGAAATAAGGCAGCTGTTGGGTTTGATACTTTGACACAGCAATTTGTGTACAACTTAACAGCCGTGATAATAACGTCCCCCTGGAATGAAAACCGTGAGAATCAATCTATGCAGTGGCATGCGTGACGCATGCGCTGTAGGGTAATCATCTTACCGTTTCATTAATTTGCAAGACGCCTCGCGTGCCAAAGTATTAAGTCGATAATGTGCTAACAAATATACCGAGAAAGGCTCGGCTTTAAAAATAAGCCCACATTCTTCGCGCTGAATTTGTAACCACAAAACCTAACTTTTCCATCAAATATTCCATATTGCAATACAGCCTCCGTGAACATCTGTCGACGGGACCAAGTAGTTCTACTTCAAATCTCAGATAAACGAGTTCAAGTAGCGCTAACAAGAGTCATACGGAGTGCCTTGTTGACATTTGAAGAGCCACTTACCAGATTATTAGCGCTAACTATGTTTGCCTTTAGGCAACGCGCGCCATCTTAGAAGTCGCGGCAATACATTTAAAAACGCTGGGTCACAGCTCCCTGTGGTGTTAAGGGAATCTCTGTATTGAAGCGGGTATACAGGTATGTATATAATGACTGGAGTGAATGAAAAGAGGTTGAAAGACAGGATGCTGGAATATCGCTAGATTAATACACTCCTGGGTGTAGGATCCGAGGTCATCCAAATTGTCTTTATTTGCAGGGGACGCATCAATCGCAGCAAGAGGTTTCTGCACGTGCTCGACTGATGGTAAGTGCACATAAAACGAAAGAGATGACTCTCCTAAAATGCTTCCATATTAATCCTATTTAAGAAGGCTGGGGATATATTACCTAATGTATACTTTGCGTCAATGATGCTTAGAGATTTATGCCAGAAGCAAAGTATATAATATCACTCTGATATTCACAGAAAATGACTTTTTGTGCAGTTTTGGGAAAGGTGTTTGTTGTAGGAGGTCCCTGTGCTTGACAAACCAATTTATATCGTGACTTTCTCAAGCAAAAATAAATTGCTAACGTCTAATCAAACCACAATGAGAACCCCCAGGGGTGGAAAAGTTACTTAGCGTTGCTACGAACCTTGTACTTACAAACAATCGTCTGTACAACGCGATTGCGTTGATCTTGATATATTCCCATTGAAATCGGAAAGTCAAAGACTCAAACATGAAAATCCAATTCGGAGTTATTTCTAATGACATTTCAAACAAATTACTTCGAATGTAGTCTGAATTATTGCTGTCGGTTTATAAATTATAAGTCAGTTGACAATGTAGCCGACCTAGCACTTGTCTAGATACTCTCATCACTCATATTACGACTGGATTTTTTTTTTCATTCGTTTGCGATCGGAACGTTTAATGTTGTTTAATCTTGCCAACATTTATGTGTCTGGTTACTTTTAAAGATTAGACTAGAACAAAAAATGTTCTAGAATAGGCAACGAAAGATGTTATGACGATAATTAATCCAGAGTCCTTGCCAACCTGGTGCACAATACATACCCTTACATAGTAACTATGCATAGAGACTGATAAGATTCACGAATTAATACGAATATTCAATAAATAATGATTATTTAAAATGATGATTCTAAAGTAAATATAAAACTTAATAAGTATAAATATTGATTTTTTCTTCGTTAGGAATAAAAATATACGTTTGATGGAAATGTCCTTGATATTTTGTTTGATTGCTTGCCAGTTTTGTACTTTTGCTGTTTCTTGCTTTCTTTGTGTTCGTTGTATTCTTACTTATCTGCTTAGGTTGTTTTTGAGAAGGAATATACACTACATGTTTCAAATTTAAACGTATTTCTTCGCCCACTTCAAAATGAATACATATTTATTATAGCAAATAATTGAATCAAGAACCATCTTTATCATCATCATTACGTCTAATATAAAAACAAACAATTGCAATTGCAAACCTTGATTTTATAGCACTCAATAGCATGGCTAACAAACCTGTGGCCGTTGTTCCATACATAATTGAATTAGAATTTAGGAGTTGATTTTTACATCTACTGTAGTTAACTTGGGACCACACCATCACGATAGAAACTTGGACACCAAGCAGTATGCATGGGTCCAGACAAAACCACTATGGCATCCCCATGCCTTGCTACAACCTGCTGTGATGCGTACTTATTATCAGTTGGATTATCAGTTGGAACATTTTTACAACAGCATGAGACTTAAGAGATATGTGCTACTGAAAAGTTTAACGTTTTTAAATCTGCGAACTTTGCAATCAACTTTTCTTTGCTTTCAAACTCTTAAAAATAAGGATGTATAGCCTTTCCTCTTTCTTGCCTTGATCGTATTTTAAAGGTTTAATTTGCTTTTTTTTTTTAAATAATGACTTTTTGAGGTATCATCTAATTAAATTTTATTTTGCTATAAATTTTTTACCTTGGGTAATAAATTCCTCATTAATTTAATAACTGTTTAAATTATCGGTTTTTAACCTTTTAGACCGTTTTTCTTCCTCCATTTAAATCCTTTTTCCCTCTTTGCCCTTTCATTTCTGTTATTCATTTCATTCGATTGTTCTTTAAGTTCTTTTCATGTACAATGCTATAGGTAGTTCTAGTTCAGTCTTCATGTTGAACACCAAATCCTCAGGGCGTCAATTTGGCCATCCTACTTTACCTAACGAGCGGAACTGGTTGATGATTAGGGGCTAGTAGTCAAAACTGTGTTAGGGCACACTGCTAATTAAATGATCTTATGTTTTTATTATGATTTTTTACTTGATTTCCATATTGTTTCAGTATCAATACTACTATATGCCACCATGGCCCTCACCATCGCTATATATCATTATGATTTTACATCATGATCATCACTAACAATATTATGAATTATTAGTATCAGTCTCTTATTATAAGTTATTAGAATCATCTATCTAATTTTCACCAATGTTCAAAATGACCTGCTGACTAGTTGTTAACGTTTGATTTAGTCAAGGAGGTGGGATTAAATTAGTTTCCCCTGATTTACTTGTCGTAGTAGTCTTT